CTTATTTGTAATTAAAACTTTTAAATTAAATTTATAATTTATTTTTTAAAAAATTATCAAGAATTTAGCTGTCATTCTTGTAAAACTTAAATGTCATAAGGCTATCTTTCTTGTTCCTTTTAATTTTCTATATTTTTTTTTTTGATAAATAGTTTTAGAACATAAAAGAAGTCTTACGTCTAAAGATTATAAAATAAATTATAAATATATAAGTTTAGAAAATATCTAATTAAATGACTTATGTTATTTTTATAAAATATATTACCTTTAACTATACTTAATATAAGAAATTTAATGTGATATCATGAGACATTCAATTGGAGACAATAAAAAGGATAAAAACAGAAAAAAAAATGAAAGAATAAAAGATGAAAAAAAATTAGAGACTAAAAAAAAAAGCAAGAGAGAAGGATAAGGAGAAAAAAAAATTAAATAAAGTTAATATCTTTGAAACTATAAAAAAAAAGTACAAGTTCGAGTAAAAAAAAGAAGAAAAATTAAAAAAAGAGAAAAAAATATTACAACATGAAATAAGTTTTATATTTAAATATTAGAAGATAAATTATAAATATATAAATTTAAAAAATATTTAATTAAATAATTTAAATTATTTTAGTGCAATGTACTATTATTTAACACAGACATGATGCATTATTTTTCCCATGGTGTGATGCACAAGATGGGAGATGCTTCTGATATGGTGAATCGTGACATGAGTGTTGCCCACCAGCCAGCCCATACTTTTGAATTTTGATATACTGAAATGGGGGATGAGTGCGACGGCCACCAGACTCTGCATGTTATGGCTGCCTCGTCAAGTTTCAACGTCTGGAATTTAAAATTTTCAATTCATAATTTTTAAATAATAAATCATGTTTTAATATATTTATTTTTAGTTACTAAAAATATAAAATAAAATTATATTAAAGCTGAATCCGTCCAATCAGTCTATATTTGGTGCATGCACGGACGCCCAAACTGGAAATATCCAGGTGAGTTAGCATTCCCAGAGTATCTGATTTTTGAGCCATGACTAGTAAGATTTACTCCCTCTAATTTCCACATTTAACTACATCCTATCGAAACCAAGTAAAGATGGTTTTATCTATACATCAATAAAAAAAAATTAAATTTACATTATATTAATTTTCATAATTAATAAGTTTAGTATGAGTAATATTTAAAAAAATTTTTAATACTACATTAAAGCGATTTATGATAAGAATTATTCATAACGATCTCTTCTATAGGTATTTCATGGTGACTATTTGACAGTGTAAGATTTAATACTCACCCGTATATTATCTCACTTTGACTAAAGAATATGGAATGCAGAACTGAATCGAACCGGCCAGTTCAATTTGTAATTTGATGGATTGCTCATTTGACTGGTTTGATTTATGACACTGTAAAGAAAAAGAGAAGCTCTCTCTTTTTATGTATACTGTTCATTCTGTGGGTATATATATATATATATATATATCTACATGATCTAGGATTACAGTAATCAAATAACACGAGATCAGGGATGTTGATATATTGTCTTCCAAAATAGCATAACTCACGCCGTAACTAATGTGCATGCATGATTTGCATGATCATGGAACACACGTCATTCTTTCATTCTTTCTTTACTCCCCCTCAAGTTGGTGCGTGGAGGTTAGTAACGCCCAACTTGGCAACAAGTTCATGCAATCGATCACGGCCGAGAGTTTAGTGAACATATCAGCTAGCTGCGAGGTGCTAGAAACTTTCAGTGGTCGAATCTCGCATGACTAGACACGTTCGCGGACGAAGTGGCAATCCATCTCAATGTGCTTCGTGCGCTCATGAAACACAGGGTTATTGGCAATGTGTAAAGCAGCTTGGTTGTCACAGTAGAGTGGTGTGGCGGAATGGCAGGGTACACCCAACTCAGAGAGTAGCCAACGGAGCCAAAGAAGTTCGCTGACTGTGGTGGCCATTGCACGATATTCAGCTTCAGTCGAGGAGCGTGCTACAACAGATTGCTTCTTCGAATGCCAAGAAATGGGCGAGCCACCAAGTTTGACAATATAACTCGTACAGGAACGTCTAGTGAGAGGGCAACCTGCCCAATTAACATCACAGAATGCTTCGAGGTTAAGGTTACCGGAACTTGTGAGAAGAATACCCTGTCTAGGTGTTGACTTTAGATAGCGAAGGACACATTTAGCAGCATTCATATGAATTTGAGCAGGGGAGTGAGAGAACTAACTGAGTATAGTGACAGTGAAAGCAATGTCGGGTCTCGTGATAGTGAGATAAACTAATCTGTCGACGAGTCGTCTATAGCGCTCAGGGTCTGTACTAGCGTCGTCATCTGTGGCAACAAGTTGGACGTTTTGTTTCATGGGAAAGTGACTAGGCCGACAGTCGGTCATCCCAGTATCTTTAAGAATATCCAACGTGTATTTGCGTTGGCTAAGTACAAAGCCTGCAGGTGAGCAAGCAACTTCGATGCCTAAGAAATATTTAAGAGGCCCCATGTCTTTGATGCTAAAGTGACGATGGAGGTGGGTTTTGACTTGAGACAGATGCTTGTCGTTATTGCTGGCTAGGAAGACATCATCCACGTAGATAAGAGCATATGTGGTAATGTGTCCTTTTGTGTACACAAATAGGGAATAATCCGCCTTTGATGGACGAAAGTCGATGGTCAGTAGTGAGGATGTGAACTTCTCATACCAATTTTGTGAGGCTTGTCGTAACCCGTAAAGAGACTTACGTAACCTGCAGACCTTTGTGTCACCATCCTTTTGGAAACCTTGTGGGATTTTCATGTAAACCTCTTCATGTAGGTCTCCATAGAGGAATGCATTGTTGACATCTAGCTGGTGTACAATCCATTGCCGTTTTGCAGCCACAGCTAACAATGTTCGAACAGTTACTAATTTGGCAATGGGAGCAAAAGTCTTAGTAAAATCAATCCCCTCCCGTTGTGTGTAACCTTTAGCAACAAGCCGTGCCTTGTACTTGTCGATATCACCATTCGGTTTATATTTTATTTTATAGACCCATTTAGAGTCAATGGCTCGTTTGCCAGGTGGAAGTGACTCAAGGGTCCATGTGCCATTGTGCTCTAAAGCTATAATCTCTTGCATGGCTTCTAGCCAATGGACATATTTTTGTGCCTCTGTAAATGACTTCGGCTCATTGTGAGTAGTAATGGCCGTTAAGAAGGCTTTATGTGAAGGAGAGAAGCGATCATATGAAACATAGTTAGATATAGGATAAGGTAAGGTACCTGAGGGAGATGGCGTAGCAGTGTGGGGATGTAAAATGGAATATGGCAAATCGAGATCAAATTTATCCAAATGCTTGGGCGGGCGTCTTTGTCTTTGACTTTTACGAGTGTCTTCTAGTATGGTGGACGATGAAGGCAGTATCATTGGTGGTTCTGGATTTACTTGAGGAGACTCAGGCAACGTTGGCGGTGCATGTGTGTCCTCATTGTCAATAACCTCAATGACATGGTGATCACCGTATAGACGTGTAGTAGAATTATTAAATTCAATGTTGGGTATATGCAAATATGGAAAATCATTTTCAAAGAATACCACATCTCTTGAAACATAGACTTCCCCAGTGGTGAGATCAAATAGTTTATACCCCTTTTGACCATGTGGGTAGCCAAGAAAAATCCCTCGTCTCCCCTTTGCATCAAACTTGTCTGTGCGTCTAGGATTGTGGGCATATGTTAAGCATCTAAAGACCCGCAAATGAGAATAATCTGGCCGTTTACCCATGAGAATGTCATAAGGAGTGCAGTTGGAGATTGCCTGTGATGGCAAGCAATTAATAAGATACACAGCCGTGAGAACACACTTGCCCTAAAATTGAAGAGGCAAGTGAGCTTGGAAACAAAGTGCCCTAGCCATCTCTAAGATATACCTATGCTTGTGCTCAACAACCCCATTTTGTTAAGGCGTGTAGGGACAAGAGGTTTCTACCAAAATGCCTTTGTCTGAGAGTATCTGTGAAAGCAAGGTGGATTGGAATTTCTGTCCATTATCTGTTCTAATTTTGCGAACTCGAACACCAAATTGTGTTTCTACCATGTTGAGAAACAGAGACAAATATTGCGTAACATCAGACTTATATTTTAACAAATAAACCCATACCCCTCTACTATAGTCATCAACGATGGTAAGGAAATAATGTGCCCCAGAAAGTGAAGGGACCTTATAACTACTCCATACATCACAATGAATTAATTCAAAACAAGATGAAGATTTTATTGAACTATCAGGAAAGGCTAATCGAGTCTGTTTAGCTTTAAAACATGAATCACAAGGAGCTATGCTCTTATTGATATTGGCTAGAAAATGTAAATGCTTTATCTTCTCCTCAGAAGGATGCCCGAGCCGCCAGTGCCATAAAGCTGAGTTTGTGGATCTTGTAACATGCAATGCCACACCTCTTCTTTCTGGCTGCTCCATAATATATAATCCACCACACCGCCTAGCCACTCCAATCAGGTTCCTTGAATGTAAGTCCTGTATGACAACCATAGCAACAACAAAAGTTATCAAACACATAAGATCTTCAACTAATTTACTGACCGAGATGAGGTTGCACTTAAATTCAGGGATATACAATACACGACTAAGATTCAAATGTTTAGTCAAAGTGATCTTCCTTGTGCTGTGAACAGAAAGACGTTGACCGTTTGGGATGTGAACAGGAAGATGATGTGTGGCCACCTTCTCGTTATCGAGCAAACTTCTGTCACATGTAATGTGCTTTGTGGCACCAGAATCAAGAACCCAAAGGGAGTTAAAATATATAGTACTTGCCATATTGACGACGGGCAGTGTAGCAAGTTTCTCCCCCTCAGTGTTCAAGTAATTCACGAGTTGCTCATATTGATCATGGGTAAGTCCTGGTATTGGACTCTCATTGACAATGACCTGTGCAGCGTGTGGAGCATGTCGTTTCTCCTTTGAGCTTGCACTTGACTTCTCTTTTCGTCCTCCTTTTCACCAATCTGGTAGATATCCCATAAGATCATAGCATCGATCTTCCGTGTGGCCAAGCTTCTGGCAGTGGGCACACTTGGGTCTCTCTTTCTTTGATTCTCGTCGGTCCATGCCATCCTTCCCATTTTGCATTGCTTGAGTGAGGAAAGCAACTGCTTCAGGGGATGGTTTGGTTATTGCAGAGATCTGACGCTGCTGTTCATCCTCTACTACAAGGTGATATGCCTGCCCCAGCCGAGGTAGTGGTTTAATGCTGAGTATCTGGGTCTTGACAATATTGAAGCTATCATCAAGACCCATGAGGAACTCGTACAACTGCTCACGCTCTTTCATCTCCATGATCTGCTTCTCGATGCCACACTTGCAGTTACCACACGAGCACCTTGGCCATGGCATGATTGTCATGAGCTCATCCCATAAGCTTTTGAGCTTTGTGTAATAAGTCGGCACGGATTGTTTATTCTCCTGCCGTGACAGTACAATTGCTCTGCATAGTTCGAAGGCCCTTGGAGCACTTCCCTTGCCAAATCTCTCTCCAAGGTCCAACCAAATTTCTCGAGCCGTTTTGGCATACCGCACACTCATTCAAACATCTTTATCCATAGCCCCTTTCAACCACCCTTTCACCATTGCATTATATCGCATCCAGTTACTAAGGTGTCGAGAGTCGACGGCGGGCATGGAAAAACTACCATCAACAAAATTGATTTTGTTTTTTGCAAGTAGCATGTTAGTCATATCGTTGATCCACTCCATATAGTTGCCCTCATTCAACAGGTCACTGATGTATACTTGACCTGGATTATCAGAGGGGTGAAGGTAATATGGTGAGGATGCATCTACCATAGTGGCTTGCGAGTCAGAGATATCAGACTTTGTCATTCTGTTACTGATGAATGGTGCTCAAATATGAAGGGAAATGTGGAGAAAGAACCTCCGCTCTGATACCATAAAGAAAAAGAGAAGCTCTCTTTTTTTATGTATATTGTTCAGTATGTGCCTCTGTGGGTATACAATATATATACAAGAGTGTCGTATCTCTAAACTATCATATCTACAGGATCTGGGATTACAATAATGAAATAACACGAGATCAGGGATGCTGATATATTGTCTTTCAAAATAGCGTAACTCACGCTGTAACTAACGTGCATGCATGATTTGCATGATCATGGAACACACGTCATTCTTTCATTCTTTCTTTACACTGTTATGGAATTAACTTGAACAACTCAACATATTGGCTGGATTATATTTTTTCAGTTAGCAAATTCTCAAAATGATTTCATTTAGGTTTTTAAAAAAAAAACTGAAATTTTTCAAATTCTTAAAATCTATCCCTAGCAAATCCCAAATTCAAAATTGTTCTTTGCGGCTTCTGCTTGTCTCTCTCTAAAGAACCTTGCCAACAACTTCAGCCCCATGTCTTTTCTTTAGAAGTGGTAATATAGGCTAACCTATGGGCCATGGGTTGGCTGCAATGATTCATGAGCTTAGCGAGGCGGATTGGCATAACTTGTACGTTGGTGAGTTGTATTTTTGTGTAGTAAAAAACATATTTTTTTATAATTCTTTTCAATTTTAAAAATTGCAAAATCACCTCATCATAGTTTCTCCTAAAAACTAATAATTTGAGTGACAATAAAAGTTTGCACTCGTAGCTATTAGGGGTCATCAAAATAACACGCAAAATTTTTTTCTTGGAACACTTTAGACTTTGTGCAAATCACATAACCCACAATTTAGTTAGATGTAATTTATCACATCCATATTTATTTATTTTATAATCAAAACATGCACAATAATTTGATTCAATTTTGTTAACAAACAAATTATATCTTTTAAATCATGAAATTGCATAATTAGACATTGTCTAGTGCTCCATACCATACTCGTTGTATAAGTTATAAAGAATTTTAGCACTAAAAATATAAAAAATTATTAATTTGCTATTATTGTCCAACTTCATTGATTTTGGTGTGATTATTAATTTTATTATTCTTTTTTTATACATACAATCTAATAATATTATTATTTAATGTAACAAAAAATTTGAATCAACTACACCGACACTTTTATGTAATTAATGATGTGAGTCAATTATTAATTTACTTTCAATTCATGGGAGGCATATTAATTTTTTTATATATTGTATGAAGTTGAAAACTAATTTAAGATCTGTTCTACTAATGTTATTTTTATAGTTCTTTTAAAATTTGATTCTTTGACTCACTTGTCTGTTTATATGCTTTGAATTTGAGATAATTTAATAAAATCAATTTTAAAATTTAAATGAAAAGTTAAGAGTCACTATCCATCGAGCAAGCAAAGATTTGTCTTCTCAACTTCTATTGTATTTTTTTTAAAGAAAAAATGACTAACTCGTCAATCCATAAGTTAGCCTGTTATGAATCCAAGTTATAAAATCACTTTACATGTAAATGAATTCATTTTATTCAACCTAACCTGCCACATTTTTGCAGATTGAGCCTACAAGTTCAACCCATGTTCTCAACACTACTTTTCCCACGTTCTGGTTTATTTGAAGCTAAAGTTCACACCTTGTTGTCGAGTTTGCTATTGCTCGTTGTCTGTGCTTTGTCCACGCTGCTCATCATTTCTCTCCTCTCATTGTCTGACCTATTTTTAAGACATAGAAAAGATTAATTTTGGTTTATTTATAAGATAATACACTATTTCTATATTCTTATTTTTTGCTCTTATTAAATATTATGAAAAATAATTTAAGATAATTTTTTTGTGTTTTTTAAAAATGAAGGTAGAAACTTATTAAATTTTAAAATAGAGTTAATAAAGTTTAAAAATTCATTTGATTCGATAAACATATTAAAAATAATAATAATCTCTTCTAAAAAAGTGTCGATCTTCCAGTAAGTATTTGACACATTAAGATTTAATACCCATCAGTGTCAAAACCTTGTTAACTGGATTGGCATGAGCGCCTCCATCATTCAAATTGTTTTTTTTTTTTTTCTTTTGGGGGGGGGGTGGTGTGTTGGAGGTGGATGACTAAATTTTGAAGATTAGGATTTCCACCATTTACGATCCCCGATTAAACGCATTTTCCCTGACCAAGTGCTCTCATCTTTGGTGCTCGTGGACCATTTTGATCCTTGGGTTCAACTTTAAAATATTATTATAAATTTTATTTCATGTTTATTAAAATAAAATTTTTTATATTTTTTATCTAATCTAGGTATAATTTAGAGGGTTTAATTCAATATTAAAATTTTTATAATTATTATACATTAACTATCAAGATAGTTATTAAACCTAGGCCAAATTAAACCTAGATTAAAAATAAAAAATTATTAAAATTATTTTATAATTTTTATAAATTTTATTTTAATAAATCTAGACCGTTCAGTTCAAAATCTGACAGACGTCGACGAGCACTGAAGTTCAATGCCCTGACCAAATGGGAAATCATCGTTTCATTATAAAAGCTGTAAGCGGCCTTTCTGCCTGTCAAGTGTTAACACTTTGCATTCGTCTTTTCATCAACCATCGCCGGTGAGGCAACTCTCTGTCTTTCCAAAAATGATGGAGCTCATAGACATTCTTCTGATCCTCTCAGCTTTCCTCTTCCTCCGTTACTGGTGGCGCAGCTGGTCCACCACCGGAGGCGGCCCCAAAAACCTCCCCCCAGGACCACCCGGCTGGCCTCTCGTCGGAAACCTCTTCCAAGTCATCCTTCAACGCCGTCACTTCATCTACGTTGTACGCGATTTGCGGAAAAAGTATGGTCCAATCTTCACCATGCAAATGGGCCAACGTACGTTGATCATCGTCACCAGTGCCGACCTGATCCACGAAGCTCTCATTCAGCGAGGCCCTCTCTTCGCGAGTCGACCAGCTGACTCGCCGATCAGGCTCATCTTCAGCATGGGGAAATGCGCCATCAACTCTGCCGAGTACGGTCCTCTGTGGAGGACGCTTCGGCGGAACATGGTGTCGGAGATGATAACGCCGTTGAGGATCAAGCAATGTTCGTGGATAAGAAAATGGGCGGTGGAGGCTCACATGAGAAGGATCGAAGCTGAAGCCCATGAAAATGGCTTCGTCGAGGTCTTGAGCAACTGTAGACTAACGATTTGTAGTATCCTCATATGTCTCTGTTTTGGAGCCAAAATCACTGAGAACCGAATCAGAAGAATAGAAAGCATTTTGAAAGACGTCATGATCATCACCCTTCCAAAGCTTCCAGATTTCTTGCCCGTTCTAACTCCATTATTTCGTCGCGAAGTGAAAGAAGCGAAAAAGTTGCGAAAAACGCAAGTGGATCTTATCGCGCCCCTGATAAGAAGCAGAAAAGCTTACGTGCAGAGCAACGGGGAGATTAACGAGAATTCCGAAATGGTGAGTCCGATCGGTGCTGCTTACGTGGACTCTTTATTCGGGTTGGATGTTCCAAGCAGAGGCAGGCTCGGGGAGGAGGAGTTGGTAACATTAGTATCGGAGGTTATCAGCGCCGGGAC